ACGGCGACCCCCGAGATCTACACTCTTTCCCTACACGACGCTCTTCCGATATATATATATATATATATATATTACGTTTGATAAATGCCACCTTGATGAACAGAATAATTTCTTTAAAAAAAACAAAAAAAAACAACAAAAAAAAACAAAAAAACAAACTGACCCCAAACTTTTGACCGGTAATGTATACTTACAGTGCTCATCATATATATATATATATATATATATATATATGTACACCCCCACAGATTTCTCATTTAAGATAATATTTTCTATAGGAAGCTATATTAAATTTGTGCATATACATTAGTCAGTACTGAAGGTAAATCTAGAGCTTATCTAACAAAATAACTTACGATAACGGTCCAAAAACTATTACACCTAAATTATTATGTTGGAGAAAAATATTAAATACAAATTTCAAAAAAAGCAAAAATCAAAAATACCACAAAAATATTTAAAATTGAGTTGAAATTTTGTGGGTTGTAGTTTATTTTGTAATATTTTGCTTGATTTTAATAGTATTATCTTTCAATTTCTAAATATGTTTGGTGACTAAAATATTATTATAATAAATATATCTGTTTAATACATTGTCTATATTCCCTGAGGAATGGATACAAATATTCCTTTTCAAAGTGGGGTGTACTCATTTATGCTGAGCACTGTATATAAGTTGATTGTTTATATATATTTGCACACACAAAATGATTTCTACTGCTTGTTGATCTACTTATTTAAAATAAGCTGGAACAACAATTCCTGAGATTTCGTAGGGGACAACTTCATCGTTTTGTTCAATCCACTTAAATTTGTTAAGTTAATTTAATGGATTTGTGTTGAGACAAAATTAATAAATTGTGTAGGACCTGTTGGACTTTTCCTAGTACTCCCAGGTTAAAACAGTAGTCAAATGCTTTAAATGTGTTTCAACAATTTAATTAATTAGATAAATAAAGCATTACAGAGCTCCGGGTGTCAGAGAACACACAGGCAGTCTGTGTCAGCTGGCCACACACCCCCACACCCTCATCCACCTCCATATTTATCGTCGCCTCTCTTCAGCCCCGGCCGGAGGCGCTTCAGTAAGAAAGATCTTCCATTCAGATCAGTTCAATCATCAGTTGTTTGGCAGAAGAAGCTAATCTGCACAGAAAAAGATGAGCATACCCATAACAGAGCCTGCAAGAGAGTGAGCATTCGCCTCATTTTATTGAGTAATATTATTTTAGTTTTATTTTATTTTAAATTAAATGTACAAATGTCAATTACTCATTGATACTAAAACAACACTTCAACCCATTCTCAACCTTAATTCTAAACACAAAAATCTTTCTTTTTTGTAAACATATAATATTAAGATATTACCGTTACTGTAAACTTAATTGTCCTCTTTTGGGGTGATTTGTTCTGTAGCGTACTAGTTTTACAACAAAAATACCACACACTTAAGACAAACATTAATCAACATTGATATTACTGAATAACAGCAACTTCCTTCTTATCATTAAAATTCAGCAAATTAATCGCACAAGAAACTAATAAAATTTTAATCTGTCGGTCCTAGCCAAAGGGGCCCTATACCAAGATCCTGAGGGAAGGATTTGAAATGAATAAAAAGAAAAAGGATGGGCTTTCTTGAACACCTGGCTTTTACAAATAGGATAGCCGTGGCGCTTTTACCCCAATACTTTACTGGTATTTAAAACCTTAGAGTTTTTCTGTTTTACTTTTTAAGTAGCAAACAAACAAATCAATGAAAAGTTTCAAATGGATTCTATATAGCCCTTATAAAACGCCACCATCAGAGTCCTATCAATAATAAACTTTGTTAATTTTTGCAGAAAATAAAGTCTTTGTTGGCCTGTCCTACATAGTCTAATTTTATTTATTATTAATAATATTACCTATACACTGAAAAAAATTATTCAAAGATGATTCCTTGGATTTACTCAATTTCTTTACGTTAAGAGGTTGTAAACAATTTATTTGGGCTGAATTTAAACAAACAAATTAAGTTGAACATTACTAAACTTAATTTGTTTGTTTAAATTCAACACAAACAAATTGTTTGCAACAGTTCTGCATGCAACACTTTTTTCAGTGTAGGTACTTAGGACTTTCACCAATTCATTCTGGTGGTTATCAACCATAGTAATAAAAAAAAATTAAAAAAATGAATGAATTTATTTAAAATCAGTTCCAGCTTGTTCTTGGGCCATTTTCTCTTCTGTCTTCAACAAGTGAAATGCAAGGAATCACATTCAGCTCAGATGATTGACTTGGCCATTGCATAACATTTCACTTCTTTTCCTGTCTTCCTGTTTTTGAGGCTCGCACATCTTGTGGTGAACCCTGTGTATTCACACTGGTGAAGTCTTCTCTTGATTGTTGACTCTGACACACATACACCTACCTCCTGAAGAGTGTTCTTGATCTGGCCAACTGTTGTGAAGGGTGTTTTCTTTTACCAGGGAAAAAATTATTTGGTCTTTTGGTGTTGCTGAGTTCACTGGTGCGTTTTTTCTTGTTAACAATGTTCCAAACAGTTGTTTTGGCCATGCCTAATGTTTTTGATATCTCTCTGATGGGTTTGTTTAGTTTTTACAGCCTAATGATGGCTGGCTTGACTGATAGTGACAGCTCTTTGGATCTCATCTTTAGAGTTGACAGTAACAGATTCCAAATGCAAATAGCCACTTGTAATGAACTCTGGACCTTTTATCTGCTCGTAGTAATTGGGATAATGAGGGAATAACACACACCTGGCCATGGAACAGCTGAGAAGCCAATTGTCTTATTTTGGTCCTTTAACAAGTGGAAGGCACATATGAAAACTGTTGTAATTCCTACAGTTTTCACCTGATTTGAATGTAAATACCTTCAAATTAAAGCTGACAGTCTGCAGTTAAAGCACATATTAGCTGGAAACTAAAACAACACCACATTCACACAGAAAGAAAAAAGACGGAGCTAAAAAGACAGTGGTTTCTTTATTTGCAAATTAATCACAAAAATATTGGCTACCAACAATAAAAAATATTAACAACGGTAGGTTTGATTGTACAGTCCAGATGATTATTTCCTTACAGTTATTTTACTCTATCTATGGATACCCTACATTATGATACAGAAAGCACAATATTGGCAGTGTGAAAGTCATGGGCACCATCTGCACGTCTGTGTGTGTGTGTGTGTGTGTGTGTGTGTGTGTGTGGTAAACCGTATAGAAAAAAACGAAACCATAACTAATCCATTCATATTTAATAATTTTTCTGATCTATTCACGCAAAACAACAAACAGGCTTTGTACACTGAGAAGATTTCATTGAACGTAATTTGTGCTAGGTGCAAAACTCCCCAGTTTACCAGGAAACATGATATTGCATTATTAGAAGTCAGTTGTTGTGTTGGGAGCAGAAATACTAGACGATGAAGCGGAGAATAAGATCGTTATGTGTGATGATGATGATGAATTTAAGAGCAGCATGTAAGGTGCATGTTTCTGTACCGCAGACGGTGGTAAACGATGTACATGTCAACAAAAAAAAACAAAAAAAACAAAACCTGTAATACAAAAAAATGCTCAGAAGAACTGAACAGTTTCCGGTGGTCTGAAGAACTGAACAGCCTCCAGTGGTGAAGACAAACTATATGCGTCATACGCTATTCCGCTCCTTGGTCAACAACACAAACATTGTGCTTGTCAAGCGTCATACTTTGAGGTCAACGAAGAAAGAAAACAATGTTTTTTTACAAATAAGATCTGTTTTTATCCAAAATAAACACTCTTAGATACTGTTTCCTTTTGTAATATTGCCAAAACCCCTTCCCCTAAGTGTCCATCAGAAAGCAGGGAACGTCAGGGGCAATCAATCATCAAACATATAGCTTCACTTGTACTTTTTGGTGCCTTTTTGTGTCGTCCTTATGAAATGCACTCGAATAGAGACTGATATAGATATTTATGTTGAGTCAAGTCAGTCTAGTTCATTGGAGGAAAAGTGCACAAAAGAGATCGATGGGAAAACAGAAGAGAGCTAAATTAAATCCAATTAATTTTATGTTACATAAAATTAGATTCAGGTTTGTTTTATGACTTCTCATTTCAGCAGCGAGAGAAATGAAATCCATTAGCGCAGTGGTTTAATTCAGCCCCAGAGACCGACTGGGCTTTCCCCGAAGCTTTACGCAGATGGTCCTGCCTGCCACTGAAAAGGCATAGTGTCTATTTTATATATATATATACGTAGCATCCTTGCTTACATTCATGGGTGTAATTCCTAGGGTTCAGTAGCAGTCGACAGTTCCTACAGAATACACAAGTCATAGAAAATGGCCTTTTAAAACGTTCTCCTGGCAGAAGCAATACATTCCTGGACACATTCTGATGACAACCCTGAATGAAGAGTGATTAAATGTTGTGATATGCTAAAAAAAACGGTAAAACATTCATTAAAAAAGATGATAAAATATTATTGGCGGGCAGCTTTTATGAATCACTATTAAACCGGCAATAGCCTTATTTAACGCTCCAGTGAGGTTTGTGATATAATGCCAAAATAACACACGGCTTTAGATCTCCACATTCATCATTCCAATTAAGATTTCAAAGATGAGCGCCTCGTGGCTTGTCAAAAAACATCAATTTGTATCCTCTTGTGAATTGATCTGTAATTGGCTTGATCGGGTTGCATTAAGCTCCAACAACTTACCCAGCTTTTTTTTTTTTTAACAGTTTCATATTTACAGTCACATTGATTATGGATGTAGCTTATCTGTGTTTTAGTACCACAATTCATCACGCATTATTAAGCCGTCCTGTGGATTCGCAACTAATAGCCATAAATACATCGTAATGAAATTTCACCTTTAAACGTCACATTTGTAACCTGGAGGGTGCAGCTGTAATGAATAGGCTCAATATCCTACCAAATAAAAACAGTTTAAAAGTAGAAGAATGAAACTACAAGGCGGACAGCCTTGTGTTGTGCAACACAACACATGAAATAAGTGTTAAAATAAGATTGAACCAAGTAAACAGAGTCTGACTTTAAGGTATCGCTCTGGCACTTATTCATCCGTTACGGCCTTGTGTAGATCCGTCATGAGAGATATGTGCCCTCCTCTCCTATATTGCATGTCCATTAGCTCTGACATCACGTCTCCCTGGTACTTCAACACACCAGAGGCAAGGAGCATGTCTTCTAGAAGCCTCCTGTTGTGATCTCATGTACTAGCTGAGGTTCTGTGGCAGGTGTGCCCCAGGGCGATGTCCTGGGCCCATCACTGTTCTCCGAAATGGAACAAAGCCACTAGCGCTCCACTGTGCGTCCTCTCCGTCTTTTCCTCTAGAAGCTCAGTTCTCCAAACTGAAGGTCCACAAAGCTGACCAGTTGACTGGCTGGTGTTTGACAGGGGTGGACAAGAGGGCGAGTCCCCTCAAAATAGACGGAGGGGTGTCTATTGTCTGACCAATGTGTCCCCACCCCTGTCCTCAGGTTACCTGCTGTGGAGTAGCTCCTCTCTTAGCCAGCTGGGCAACGGCTGACCCATTTTGTACAGCAGCTTGGAGAGTTCAATGTTGTGCTCATGGTAATACTCTCTCAGAAAGGTTCGGGACTGTGGACAAAACAAATATTAGTGTCAGTTTCTCAGCCAGCATTTCACATACATGCCATGCTAAAGCAGGAGTGTCTAGTACAGCTTCTGGATAGCCAACACAGGACACAGATTTAAGCTCCATCAAGGTTTATTGCAAGTATCAATACAAAAGTGCTTAAATATGGTAAAAGCAGAACCTAGAAGGACAATGAGCCACCAGAAACAGGTCTACACACCCCTGTGCTAAAGCTCTGTGTCAGCTGATATGTCAATATTGGACAATTTCTGATCTGTATTGGATATGTCATTCATTCATTTATTTTCTTGTCGGCTTAGTCCCTTTATTAATCCGAGGTCGCCACAGCAGAATGAACCGATGAGGAGAATGAACCCATTCACACACACACACTCATACACTACGGACAATTTAGCCTACCCAATTCACCTGTACCGCATGTTTTTGGACTGTGGGGGAAACCGAAGCACCCTGGAGAAAACCCACGCAAACACAGGGAGAACATGCAAACTCCACACAGAAACGCCAACTGAGCCGAAGTTCGAATCAGTGAACCATCGACCCTCTTGCTGTGAGGTGACAGCACTACCTACTGCGCCACTGCCTCACCCTGGATGTCATTTAAAATGCAAGTTTTACATTCAAGACCCTTAAAATACCACAAACAAATGAATATATTGATAGTGATCAAAGTCTTTATACTTACTCAAAACAAATATAAAACTATTTTCAGTTTTTTATAGAAGTCCTTTTTTTCAGTAATATGAAAAGTAATATAATAAGGAAAGCTAAAACAAATCTAAAGACATTACAAACCACATAAACCCCTGTTTGTATTGATTGGTTATAATACTCTGAGTGCATTTTTAAATAATTGTCTTTTTATTTTTATTTTTATTTTTTGCCAAAATAAAGATTCTCGGTTGCATTTTAAACAAGACATATTGCCTTCTGAAGAGCACTTTGGAGTAAAAAAAAATATATATATATATCAAGGCTGCCATATTGAAATTTCTTTCCAAACCAAAGTTATCAAAACTGGTCACTCCGAAGGGCCCTTTGAAATTAAGGAGCTTGAAACATTTAACTGATGAACCATTTGGGAAATTATCCTTTGAGCAGGGACGCTTTTTGGTGTCACACACTGCACTCCATTCGGAAGGGCTCATCCCTACGATCTACTACCTTCAGAGAGATCCTCCAAAGGGATAAGGGCATAGGGATGAACCCTTCAGATTGATTCAGATCATTTACTAACCCTCATGCTGTTCTAAATTCACAAGAAGTTCATTAATCTCCACATACAAACAAAGATATTTGTAATTAAACCTGATTTTGATTTCTCCATTCAAAGTCAATTATATAAAAATATAAGCCAAAATTAAACCAGTTCATAAAACTCAGCAATTATGTTTTCATCTCTTTAGGAATGTTTTGATGCATCAGAACTTTGCATGACAACACTTTTAATGCAGGGAATTTCATAGAAATTAATTTGTTTTCTAAAGATAGAATTATATCAGAATGACATGAGGGTGAGTCTGATGAATGTTCTTCTATTTTGGGGTGAACAAAAACTTCATTTCTCATTTATCCAGACATCATCATCATCATCATCATCAATATACCGTTAAAATGGCTTATATATCTCATGTTAAAAGAGAAATATTGTTGACTGGATATTAAAGCAAACGCCTCCAGCCTGGAGAAGGTCATGAACTTCAGCCTCTGCTGTGAGTGTGTGTTAAATGACAGCGTACAGCTCTTTCTCTCAGGAGTGCTGCTACTGCGACTGCGTCTGCAAAGCCTGTTCTTTCACCCCTCATTAACTTTGATGTGTCTGCCAAGAAGCCTCAAGGTAACATCAAGGTCCTCGCGGCATGCGACTGAGCCGCTCTTTATCATAGTCTGTTAAAAGATACTGACTGAAGCTGCACCCTTCTAGAAAATACACCAGTCTGAATGACCCTGAAGAAACTTCAAAGCAATTCAGGAGCTGCGAACACTCTTGCAGAATGTTAACGCTACATTTTATTAATAAATAAATAAATAATTTACTGCGATTTGTTATGACATCATACTATATATGCTCTTACTTGGAAATTTTTACTAGACATGAGTTTGAGTAAAAATGTTTATATAAATACTTATTTTATTCAATAAAGTTGATCATATTAGTCTGATAAAGACAGAAAAAGAAAAATGTTTAAATCAGGGGCTTTTTAACTCTTCTGAAGTTAGAATATTGGTATTGTGTGTCCAAAAATGTTAATATACCCAACATTTCTTTTAAGCTTACAAAAGTTCAGCTGTTCGCAAAGACATGACTATAAATTATAAATTTGGAGGAATATATAGACAGAGTTCAGACTGCATGATTTTAGCCCTGATTTTGACTCGCCGTTTTGATAAATCGCTGACAAAAGGCTAAATTCACAGGCAAATCTGTGTTCGTTCACAAGAGTAACAACCATAGTGTGAACTAGGGCTGTGCGATTTGGGGAAAATATATAATAGCAATTTTTTTGACAGATATTGCAAATCGATTTAGGATTTAATTTTGTGGTCAAGCTTCAGCTCAATAATCTGCAAGCCGTGGCAACCATTCTGTCACAGCTCTTAAAAATGACCTGTTTTTGTTTGTTGTCTGTGACTTTAAAACCAAAACATTCCCATATTACCAATGCTGTTTTTCTTTGATATCCATTCATCTATTAATGATTCTGAAGCAGCAGACTCCATTATCACACTTGTCAGTTGTTTTTTAACATTTTTTTATTGTGGGTGTTCTGCATAGTTCAGTTGCGCAATTCTGATTGGCCAGAATGAAAGTGTGCTCACTCAATTGGCTAGTAAGATGATCACACACAGACGGCAGTCCTGCATTTAAGCCTGGTTTATACTTTTGCATCAAGTGATCGGCGTGACCCACGGCGCATGCAACACGTGTAGTTGTGCATTTATACTTCTGTGCGCTGTTTCAGTTGTTCTGCAATAACACTTCCGAAACGCTAGCTGGCCGTAGGTGTTTATGTTCCTCTGTATCGAGTTTTTTTGCTGGTGTTTTGTTTTTACTGAATGTTTCCTTAATGTACAAGTGGTTCAAACTTGCTCATTTTGAGGCAGGAACCGGCGGACGTGCAACAACTTTAACCATGAGGTAAACACAAAATAAAACTTTCCATCCGGAGCTTCTTCACTGGACTCCACACTTTTAAACAATCGCTCCATCGGGCTCACGCAGCTCTCAGTTCCGCCCAGACTTGTCAGCTCTAGCAAGCCGACCAATGATAGAGCTTCCGCTATGCGTCGTTGCGACGTGTAGTTACATTTTTTGAGAGGTGCATGTCAGTGAAGACGACGGCCACGGCGTAGGGCTATGCATCAACGCATAGGCTGCGCCATAGCATACGCGTGCGCTTGATGCAGAAGTATAAATCGGCCAGATTGGCTGGGCTGGGAAAAATTAAATAATACATTATTTGGCATGCTAGATATCTGGAACTGTTGGTGATTCAAATCTTGCTGTGTGAAACGTGTTCTGATTGAAAATAGTATCGATTACACCCAATGAGAGCGCAGCATCCACTAGTATGTGTATCTGCAGGTCAACGAGAGGTTGGGGGAGAAGTTAAAAGGGCTGTTTTCAGTCTATTTGAACCCAACAAATAAAGGAAAAACGAGTTTAAATTTGACAGGAGCACCCTTGTCTGTTTGACGTGTCATCTGAATACCACAACTAGGTCAAAAAGAAAAAAGTAAAGAAATTGCTAAATCTCTAATAAGTCAGGTGAGCAAAATAAGTTCTTTTTCTACCTCACTAAAGGCTTCTTTCTCATTATGTAATTAATAACAAAAGACATACTATGGGAACTTGCATTATTTCTGTGTCAATTCTTGCGTTTGTTTGGTTATGAGGCGTAGTTTGTGGACCAAGATGAAGTTGTCGGCGATTCTCCTATTGTAAAGTCATGTGTGAAACCCCCTCACCGATCTATCTGTATGTAAATATAGCAGCGATAGAATGCTGCCCCAGACAGTCATGCAGTGCAAAAACATCTGTGATGCCACTACTTTGAAAATCATGCAGTCTGAACTCGGCATAAAAGACAAAATCATTAGCCATCCATTTCACAAATGCATATTACCATAGACATTTTTCTCTTCCTATTAACTAGATATTTCAGAAGATAGCAATATTTAGTGTTAATAATAAAAGTGCTAAATATTAATAACAATAATGATAAAATAGTCTTTTTATTCCATCAAAATTGAAAGAAGAGAATAATAGCATATAATAGAATAATAGTATATAATAAAGTATATAATAGTTGTCAAATATATAAATATAATTAACAGAAATATTTTTTCAACACATTACTGAACACAGTATTTTAGTAACTCATTTCTAATAACTGATTTTGTTTATCTTTGCCATGATGAGAGTACATAATATTTTACTAGATATCTTTCTACTTGTATTCAGCTTAAAGTACATTTTAAAGGCTTAATTAGGCAAATCATTGTTAAACCATGGTTTGTAGACAATCGATAACAATATTGCTTAAGGGGGCTAATAATAATGAAGTTAAATGTTTTTATTTTAAACTGCTTTTACCATAACAGAAAAAAAGACTTTTTTTTACTACATTTTTATAAATACAGTGCTCAACATGCAAGTACACACCTCACAAATCTCTAATTTAAATTAATATTTTTTTTTAGGAAGCTATACTGTATTATATTTGTGCATATACGTAAGATTAGTCAGTACTGAAACAAAATCTGGAGCTTATCTAACAAAATAACTCACGATTACAGTCCAAAAACTAGTACACCTAAATAAATATGTTAGAGAAAAATATTAAATATAAATTTAAAAAGAGGAAAAATCAAGCGAAGCAAAAAAAATGTAAAAAAAAATTTGTTGAAATTTTGTAGGTTGTAAATTATTTTTGCAATATTTTGCTTGAATTTAATTGTATTATCTTTCAATTTCTATATATGCTTGGTGACTAAAATATTATTTTAATAAATATATCTGTTTAATAAATCAGTTTTGCTTAAATGCACCAAAATACATTGCCTATATTCACTTTTACTTAACATGTTCAATTCAGCCAGCAGTCAAATTTTACTAGACTTACTTTATCAGTCTCATAAATAATTTGTGTTACTTACGTAAATGAAAGTAACCCGAACATGTACAGTACTTTAAATGTCCAGTAAGTGGGGGTCAAAACCACAAGTGGTTGTATGCGACAACCACTTTGAATCACACATTTGATAGTGATTCAAAAATATGTTTTGTTGAGCAGTATTTTGTTATATTTTTTAAGTTAGTTGCAAGCTGGAGGGGGAAGGAGGGCGGGCTGCTAACAGCCCGCGGGCAGGCAGTTGAAGACCCCAGTTTAAACACTCCTTTCTATTTCTAAAACTCAGATTTGATAATCAACCTTAAGTACTAGATGCTAACATGCCTAAAAAAGTTGCCTGTCTGAACAAGCTGCCTTTTCCCATTTGCCTGAAACTCAAAAAGACAGATTTGAACTGAAACAAACAATTTGAAACAAAATCCTAATCTTACATCAACATCCATGTCTGGGTATCTCCTCCCTTTACTCTTCCCCAAGCATTTGGTCTTGCCTCCATCCAGCAGCTGACACCAGAAGCCCTTCTTCGGATCGAACCTGTACCAGAAAAAGCAATGAAGAGACAAAAGTGAGAAACGGGGCAGCAAAAACAGGAACATGTTTCACCATCAGCCCAATCAAAAGGGAACATTCCAGACAGATGGTGCACGGCGGGCCACTTGGGAGACTGCGCAGGACAAACCATCTTCAGTGTCCGGTGGGAGATGTGGCTGACAGATGTTGCTGCTTATGAGATTATGTGGTACAGCAGGAGAGGACAGAGAGAAACAGAGACACACAGAACGGTGGATTGAAGAAAGAGAGGCATGTACATGAGGTGGCGGAGAAAGCAGGAAATTAACAACTGCTCTTGTGATCCTGGTAGAGTAATGGGATCTATCAGGACAAAGAGAATAGTGGGAATCCATATGATAGGATGTGGTGGGAAACCATATATATGAGGCCCTCATATACTGCAAGTTCTTCATTTTTTGCTTAAAAGTTAAATGAAGTTTAAAATACTCAAGGAGCAGTTTAATGTTGGTGGACTTTCCCATAATGCCCACAATGATAAAAGTAGAGTTTAGATGAATATATAAATATGGAAATGCTCTCTCTAGTGTTGTTGTTTTTACTCAAGGATGTCAGATTTTGATGAAGTGAACAGAAGATATTAAAGGAATGCTACACTTTTTATTTTTTTTTAATTTTTTGCAAATTGTTTGCATTGTTTGACCATTTTTTAATCCATTCAGTTGATCTTCAGGTCTAGTGGGAGCACTTTTAGCTTAGTATAATAGTTAATCATTAAGTAGGAAAGTTATTGAAACTCTTCATAGAATTTTTCGAGTGAGACGCTAATGGTCTAATCAATTTCAATGATCTATACTGAGCTAAGCTAAAAGTGTTCCAGCCTGACCTGGAGACTGGCTAAATGGATTAAAAAATGGTAAAACTCAAGTGTTCAATAGTAAAATAAATTAAACAATTTCCAAAAAAAAGTGGATTGTTTTTTTAACTGGAGAATTCCAAGTGACTTTAATGGTTCAACTGTATCTTTGTTCGCCTTGGTCTTCACTTCTGCGACAGGTCATGGTATGCGTTTACTACAGGCAGTACAACATATTACTATTAGTCAGTGGTGCAATAGTCATATTGTCTGAAGTTCATTCTAAACTGATGCAGAAGACTTAGGTGATGTACAGAGACGTTTTGAGAGGCACGGGCTCGAAAAAAGGGCTCTTTTCTATTTTTTACACAAAAAGCTATCAGATTTTATCTAAAATACTAATTTGCGTTGTGAAGAACAAAAATCTCAGGGGATTGGAATGACATGACAGTGAGTAATTAAGAGCAAATTTGACATTTTTAAGTGAACTAACACTTTAATAACTCCATTGTCAATCATAAACAAGAATTAAAAATATTGGGGAACAAGTGTCTTACGCAAGTATCTTGTGGTAGTTGAGTGTATTTATTAGGCCTAAAAACTTCTGGATTTTGTCCATTACTGAAGCTGGTTCTGTCCTCAGCATCTGACCATCTAGGACCAATATCTAAAAGAAAGAAAACAGTACATGTAAAATCATCAAAAACCCACTTAAATACACAATGCATAGACACACATGCACTAAGCAGAATACCTGACTCGGGTGATAGTGTGTGAGCCACCGCTGTAGGTGTGTGGCATAAAGCCCGGGCACCAGACACCGGCTCTGCAGGACCCTCAGTTTAATGGGCGCGTCCCGGCCTGCAGTGATGACATCATGGAATGTATATTTCTGAGCCACAGGATCATCGTGAGCTCTCTGGTGCTGGAAAACAGCAAAATCAGCAATAAATAAAGACATTCAAAATGTAATTCAAGTAATAAGAAAAAGTAAGTACGCCCTATTTTTTGAAAATAGTATTTATTCTATTTCAACGCTGGATTTTAAAATTAAAAGTATAACTTTAAAGGGGTGGTCCAGAATGTAATTTTAAGGCTTGGTTGTGTTTATAAGATGCAAAGCAATGTGTCCTCATGTTTCACTTGAAGGAAATCACGTAATTTTTTCATATATCTCACTTTGATTATACACAGCTACTCAGCTAACATAAAAACGACTGTCATATTTCCTAGTTCCTCTAAAAGACCCGCCCTTTAGTGACTCTGATTGGTCATAGTCATAATGTGCTGCAATTGGCGGATCGGCTCCACGTCACGCCCGTAAAAGCATTCGCTTTTCTGCTGTGTAAACAAGCAGTCAACCTCCCGCCCGCTCTCTAAAAAAAAAGACTGTGCTGGTGGAGTGTGTGTGTGTTTACAGCAGTTTGACTGATAAATATGAATTTGTAGCTAAATCATTTGCCCGCAAAGCAGCATTTCGCATTGTTTACATCATTGCTACAGTATACCGTTAACGCTAGATACTGTACATGTCATGATCAATTTTAGCAAATAAAAACACTTACTTGTAGCTTACAACTTCTGCTTTGAGAAGATTTTAGCCGAATCCAGCACTGAACTGGGAGAGATTCTGGAGCTGTTTTGTCAAATCATGCTTGCTGTGTATTTTATAATTCTCTGGAACATAATTAATATTGAACTAAAGGCACTTCTGTCTGTGTCGTGTCCTTTGGAAGCCCAAATACAGAAACAGACGAAGCTCTGTGGAAACAGCCGTGTTTAGACGCATTTTTAGCTTCATCTCTGCTATAACGTTACAGCGCCTCTGGCCACGGCCCTTACCTGTATGCGCAGTGTGGGATGCGCTGTAATGAACTTTTGTGATCTAACAGGGGGCGGAAGTATTTTTTGTAGCCCCCAAATTCATTTATTGTAGGCTTTGCTAAGATAACTCTGTAAAAACCAAGGTCTCCCTTTGCATTGAACTTAGAACTTTTTACATTCAGAGATGTTGTTTATGTTCACACAGCTACATTACACATCAACTAAAGTTTAAAATATGAGATTGTAGTGGACCACCCCTTTAAGGGATAATTCACCCTTCACTTGTTTCACCAAACCTATTTGACGTTTTTCTGTCAAACACAAGAAATATATATTTTTTTAAAGTTTCGAAAAACCTGTAACCGGTTACCAGTTTCCAGCTTTCTTCAAAAAATCTTTTTGACCCAATGAATTTATGGCTGCTCAAATTTTCTGAAGACTGTCAACCGAAATGTACAGCTACCTATTCAGTATGACATGATCATTTCTAAAAAAGTTATCCTATGTTTCTGGAAGAAAAATGTCAGGTCTCTTTTTTTCTGACTGGCTTCTCGGACTCATCTCCCCTTTACATTTGGAAAGAATAAGATATACCTCTTCTGGGAACTCTGCGAAATTTGATAAAATGTGGGATCCAGTTTTAATTTTTTTAAAACACCATAAGAACTAATAGTGCTGTTTAATTTCTGATGACTTGTAAGATTTTTTTCTCTCTCTCTTTACATTCATTGTTGTGTATATTTGTAGGTCATATATGTCTTGTATGCTGCAAATTTCCCTTGTTTCATGCTTTATTTTACATTTTGCACAGATTATTGTTTCATTATGGGTTTGTCTGTCTGTTCCTTGCTTTTCTATGTCTGCAAAAACTAAAATAAAAATATTCAAAATTTCAATAATATATCATACTAATAATATAAAAAATATATCTTAACATAATAAAGAAGCCATTTGAGGGAGAGTAAATAGTAAAAAAAAATTAATTACCTATCACCTATCAGACCCTTTAAAGTGATAGCACAAATTATGCATCCTCCAGAAACTCAACATACACTACAATCTTCAAATAAACCACCTAAACGAATGGCAAACCATTTTTGTAACGACATAGTAGTAAATGTATATACTAAAAGTGTTAATAAGTGTTAATAATGCTCTTAATCTTAGATAAGAGCCTTAATGATTACAACTCATATTTTGAAATCAATTAAGACATTAGGATTTGAATTTAATAAGTTAATAAATGCATTTTGATAACTAACTAATAATTTATTCTAGTCAAGAATATTGTACGACAGCTGCTAAACATAAATAAGTTCATTTTCAACCTTCATTTATTTATAATGTACAATTAACATTCCTGTATAAAAATGTTTAACTTTACAAATTACATCATTCTGCATTACTTTTTCAGGTACTATTGCTCAGAATGTTCATAAAAGACAACTATTCATGCTCTTTTATTATAAAATAACTTCCTGCCACTGCAAAAACCAGCTTTACCTTGACTAATATATTACCGGTCTTCTGGGAAAAGTTATAAAGCTGCCGAAGTGTAAAATATGAGCCCCGAAGGACTCAGCAGAATGACGCCGTGTACAATATTTTTTATCTTTCGCAGATCTAATCTTCTGTCCAAAGCAGGAATCATGGCCTTGACTAACCCTGGATGCGACTAGATGACACACGAGCAGTTACGGAGATACTGACCTGATACCAGGAATAGGCTCTGTCAGCCGGGTTGATAAGGATGGTGATGATTTTGGCTTTAGGCAGAAGAGCAGCTGCACGCCGGGCTGCGACCTCTGAGTCAAAGTAGTTGGCACTTTTCTCAAAGTAGAAGTCTGAGCTAGTGTTGGAAGGTAGAGGGAAATGTTCCATGTACCTACAGTTAAAAACAAAACAAGCAATTAGCATTCCATTAAAGCATTGAAAAATGAAAATTGTGTTAGTAACTACAGTACTGTGCACTAAGCACTATACCAGTGTTGTTGGCCTAAGACTTTGCACAATGTCAATCAGTCAATAATCACAAGCACAATAATCAATCAGTCTCTTTATTAAAAACAAACAGAAAATAAAAAATATGTACAAAAAACAACAGCACAACATTTCCTCTTCAAGCAAAAGTCTGTTTAATGTGGCTTCCCTTGGTACCAAGCACAAATAATGTGCTGTATATAAACAGCCTTCTTTTAGCACTTTCCAAAGTTCTTTAGTTTAGAGTTCCTATCTTTTTTTCTATCCAGGTGATCTCATACAGCCTCTATAATATTCAGGTCTGGACCCTGTGGAGGCCATTTCATGTTCATTAGCTGTTTTCTTTCTTTCTCCAAATAGGATTTCACTGTAATTAATGGTCGCCATAATGCTGAAAATGAAAACTACTACCACTGAAGACCTTTCCAAAAAAAATGCCATAATGAATTGAAACCTATCTGTACTTTTCAACATTCACAATTCCATCAATTAAGACAATATTGCTCCAACACTTGAAGAAATGGAGCTCAAACCAGGACAAACACCCTCTCTCCAACACCGTCTTTCACATGTCTTAAACATTTAAACTAAAATAATTCAAAGTCTAATCTAACAACCTTGGATCAAATAAAAGATAATTTATTCACCCTGTATAAATCTCAATAAAAAAAAATAAAAATAAAAACAGTCAAAAATGTACATGTACAGTTGAAGTCAGAATTATTAGCCCCCTGTTTATTTTTTTCACCAATTTCCATTTAATGGAAAGAATATTTTTTCAACACATCTACAAACATAATAGTTATAATAACTCATTTTAAATAACTGATTTATTTTACCTTTACCAAGATGGCAGTAAATAATATTTTATTAGACATTTTTAAGACACTTCTGTACAGCTAAAAGTGACATTTAAAGGCTTAACTAGGTTAATTAGGTTAACTAGGCAGGTTAGGGTAATTAGGCAAGTTATAGTATAACAGTGATTTGTTCTGTAGACTATCGAAAAACATATAGCTTAGTAATTTTGACCTTAAAATGTTTTTTAAAAAATTAAAAACTGCTTTTATTCTAGCCGAAATAAAACATTCTCCAGAAGAAAAAAATATTATCAGACATACTGTGAAAATTTCCTTGCTCTGTTAAACATCATTTGGGAAATTTAAAAAATAAAAATAAAAATCATGAAAAAAAATTATAACTCTGCCTTCAACTGTATGACTCAAACATTTACACAAGTATTTATGACTTATGGGTTTGTAAATATCCATTATATCATCAGTAAAACAACAGAATTAATGTTGGGCTAAACAAATTAAATTGAATGTGTCATGATCACAAAAATGTGAATTAACTTTATTAATATTGCATAAAAAATGTGCGAATAAAGCAGCGTTACCATCCGACAAGTCAAAGCGAACAGAAATGTCACTTACTAACTGGCATCAAATATCAAAAGTGAAAACAGAATTTGCTGCGGTAGAACCTTTTATTTAATAAATGAGTTGCATCTTAAAAGACAATTGCCGACACACAGTAAATGTATGGTGGCATTTGAAGCCCTGGGACGCAGAGCACAGACACTCTTGACAGTTCTGGAGGTAATTAATAATATAATAACACTAATACTGAAACGGTTAATGGTTTTAGAATGACCAAAATAATATTTCAGATGTGCTCAGCCTGCTGGTTTGTGCATTCTCACACATTTTCATCATCACATGATCTCTTATGATAAAATCATATGACTATTTTAATGAGCATACTGGAATTTAGTAAAACTGTTTTCATCGCAGTTTTTTCTTATCGAAAAAAAGTTTATCCTACTCAGTTTTGTGCATACATTTTTTTTCAACAGTTTATTGGATTCGCATATCTTAAATGCAATGGTTGGAAACGTAGTTACTAGGGATGTAACGGTATTGTAAATACCGTCATACCGCAATATAAATTTTTTTCGATATTACCGAAGTCGCATGACTCGGTAAAACTATAGGTCTTCTGAGAAAATTTGCTCAGGCGATTGAAGCGAACGGGAGGTAACGAAAACTACTGTTCCCATCAGCCCATGCTTGACCATCATCCCTTGCGGTCTGTTGTCGCTAAAGATCCAGTAATGCGGAAATGGAGTGTGCTGCTAGAAGCGGGGATGAAAAGAGCTGGAAAACTCTAAGGCCCCGTTTACATAAGTTTTGCTACGGTTACGCCAACCGTCCACACTACGCCGGAGTTCTCGAGCGCCGAAAATGGAGCGTTTCGAAAACGCAGGAGAGGTTGTTTTCATTCTGAAACGCTGCTGCTCCGTCTCATTGTGGATGATGGAAAACGGAGACGTCTGAAAACGGAGGCGGGGCTGCAGACGTTCGCCTCTGATTGGGGCTTTTCCTGAATATTAAGTAGCCTAACACGCACAGTTCAGTGCTGCATTCTTTCCGTGTAAGTTCAGACTTCGCAAGTTTTGATCAAGGCTGCAGTCTCTTCTTCTCAGTTTGATATGGAAAAGCAGACTATACCGAGGACACGGGTAAATCTTCAAAGGGAACAGTGTACTTTATAACTTCATTCACATCACCCTGGCTTCGTTGTTTCACTTTCTCAACAATAAAATGTAAACATGATTTAAGGAACTGCCTATTTTCATTTTAATATTAGCAACTTAGACAGCAGACATGTTGAGGCGTCGTGCTGCATAAGATGAGCGTCATCTTCACTGTGTGGACATTTATAACAAAACGGAGCCGATAACAACTGCCTCCTTTCAATTTCAGTGAAAATACGAAACGCACCCTCTCTTTTGCTGAGTATCAGTTTTAAGAATCGATAATGGCCATTTTAAAAGTGTAACATACAATAAGTTTATACATTATAGGAAATAAAGGCAAGCGATCAGTCAATATACAGAATGTACGTGATTACATTAATCATTAACTTATCTTTGCGCTCAGCCAAAACACGTTACCTGAGAACAAGTAATAGATTCAGGGAATCTATTAAAAAATCTATTAAAGTCAGGGAATATGTCGTTAGATAAAGACAACAAGATAAATGAAATATCCCGTTTAATAAATATAGTGAGATTAGATCCAGCGGGAGATGCTTGATGAGAAGTCCGACTAGCAGAGCTCTCATCTGGGTAGGTGGGCTGAGTGTGATTAAATGTTGATTGTGATGAGTTTTCAACAATACTAAATTGAAACTTTTTTTTACATGGTTTAATAATTTTTTGTTATTAAAATTGAAGTTCCTGTTTCAAAGCTTACAGATAGATGACTAATTTGTATGTCATTGACACTTTTGGCACTTTTTTGGAGTATTTTCATAAGTTTTGTTTTTTCCTGTAAATGATTCAATAAATACCGTACCGTGACATTCATACCGAGGTATTACCGTACCGTGAAATTCTGATACCGTTACATCCCTAGTAGTTACTGTCTATGGAGGAAAAAGGAAGCTCCTGGATTTCATCTAAAATATTGTTATTTGTGTTACTAGCTTCTCAGAGATTTGGAACAACATGAGGATGAACGATTAATAACAAAATTGACATTTATTTGCATGAATGAATCCTGTAAATTTAGTCCAGATAGAAACTGCATTTCAGAACTTGTACAAAAGCAGGCTGCACTATTGTTTATCTCTGTTTGTTGAAACGCGTCTCTCTTTTTATAATCAGCATCTTGTTTCTGAGATCAAAACCATCAACCGCAGTCATTTTTTCCCCAACTGATTAAAGAGAAAATGAAAGACAGGAAGAGAGAGACAGAGGTGCTTGATGATGTGCATCAGACACCTGCTTTCTATTAGTCACATTCAAGACGACTGAAAGAGGTAAAGAAAGAGCTGGTAATGCTGTTTTGAAAATGACCCATACTGCCTTCCTTTCAAGGAAACATTAGCCTTTGTGTCTCTTAATACTCTTTACTTCAAAGCATGCCAGACCTTTACAATGATTGTACTTCATAGCAGTTTACAAGAGCTATTGGCTATAAAGAAGCCATGAAATGTGGGTTTTTTTGTCCGTGTTGACAAACTTTCTAAAGAGACAAGAAGTTGGAAATAATTTTAAGGCCTTGATATACTTTGGGAAAAATGAAAAAAAGAATGAATAATTAGGCAAAAAGTTTAGTTGGTCTAAGACTCGTTTTAGAGTCGAAATGAACTTTCCAGAAAACCTTATTTCTGCTGGTAAACCCATTTGAACTACCATTGGTTTGTGGTGTGATGTCAAGGGTCCATAGTTTCCAGAGCCAAACGCTCAGATGCCAAAAAAAGTACAACAAATTATACCAATATACGCTCACAGTGTGCTGTAATACAACATTGTTATATTTATATCCATGTCTAAACTCAGATGGTCACACAGTGATTCATCTTTTATAAATCATTAAAATACTGGTTTCTGTTATGTAGGAAACTGTAGTTAACATCGCAACTTTGTAAAATATTTGCTTTAATACGACTAAACAGTGGTCACAAATGGCTATTGAAAGAGTTTTCTAGGTTCAAACAAGTAAAATGTTTTCATTCAGTACATCACAAATTAACTAGCAGATTGCTAGGGTTGACTGTTTGTTAAGGCCCGTTCACACCAAGCATGTACTAAACCTGCTATAAATAGTAGAAATATAACAATACAGATAGAGTTCTTAAACATTCTGAATGTAAAACAGCAGCAGAGTTCAGACCACAACTATAATGACAAAAATAAAGAGAAACAATATCATTGGAATAACTTTCATTAATTTCAGAATTTTTTATTATGATAAAGCACCTAAAGCCAGTCAGAATCCATTGAAATGTAAAGAGTTTGCGCAGTTTAAAGCTACGGAAAACATTAGCCCTGCTTGATTTCAAGCACTTTATTCAAAAATTATTAAAATATAATGACTTTTAGAAAACAATCAGCTATACCAACAAAAATACAAGGAGGTTGTGCAAGCCAGGGTCTCAAATTTAAGTATAAAATTGTAAGTACCTCAGGTATCCAGTAAAGTTTGTTGCATGCTTTGAAAATGCTTGAAAATTGTTGATTGTGATATCTTTTCTTCTTTACTACACTGGCTATGATTGCTATTTTCATTGGATTAGATTAATATATTTTAAAATAAATATTACACAAGCTGGAATCACTGATCAGATGTGCTAGTAGCAAACTGAGGACATCTGCTGGTTACAAGGGGTAATGCATAAACAAAAAGCAATAACTAAAGATAAACATGTTTTACCGTTTGTCAGTAAGGACACAAATACATTTCTCTTCATATTAATGCTTATAACTATAGTGCTTGATATGAATCAGCCTCATAGTTGTGCTGTGGACTAAGAACAATTATCGAATAATATAGTTACTGTAAAATGTATCATCATTGCTGTGAATGAACCTCAATATTTGTCATCATAAAGTTGACTGCAAAGCTAAAATATACAGATTAAAAGACACACATTTAGGCTTTAAATTAATGTAGTTTCTTAAAGATTTACACCAAAGGTAATGTTTTATGTATGTGTGTCTGAGGGCATGTAAGATCATATTCTATCTTAGATATATTTATTTTCTTATCCAATTATTTGAGTAACTTCAGTGCTTAATTTTTTATAGACCAAATGATTGTTGTTTAAATATTGTACTTGTGGCAATAATAATAAAGATCTATTCTATTCTATTCTATTCTATTCTATTCTATTCTATTCTATTCTATTCTATTCTATTCTATTCTATTCTATTCTATAGCTTTAGTTACACAGGCAACATTCCATTTTAAAGATGAGATATAGAAAGCGATTACATACCAGTCAATTCCTTTGTGGTAGTTGCGGCCGTTGAAGAACTGGATTTCCTCGAAGGTCTCTTTGCTGGGGTAGTTACTGGTCAAATCTGAATGCATGCTCAGAAAGAGATAGAGGGCAGTGGTTCCTGAAAAACACAGAAGAAAGTGAACAGGTCAGTTTTCTGGGGAGTCTAGTATTCAGGTACAAAAATTTATAAAAAAATAAAAATAAAAATGCTTTTCTTTCTTTAGTCAAACTATCTAAAAATTCTTAAAACAAGTAACAAAGTTTAATTTTTTCACTTTCAGAACAAATAAGTCAAAATTAAGAGTGTTTCCCTAAAACAAGCAAAATTACCTGCCAATGGGGGAGGAAAATATTCCTGTTTTTACTTTGAAATGTAAATATCTGGATTAGAAATAAGATTTTTTTTTAGTCATAAATTGTATAAATTCTGTATCAATAATTAAATAATTAATCTTTGTTACACCTCCAAACATAATTTCTTGTACTCAAAAGTTTTAGATGTTATTAAATGCTCACAGTCATTAAAACACATGCAAATGATAAACTTTCAATCTTTTATGGTTAATCTAGGCAGTGACTCTACAAATCACATGAGTTCTGTGGCTACTGGTCAACTTGAATTCAGCCTCAACATTGCATATCTTGCGATGTGACTATTGTGTGTGCGCACATTACGAAATCGAAATAAAACAATATATTGTGCAGACAGTGCAGCCCTACTGTGGATTCAAGATAAATAACATAAAAATGTATTTGTTTCTTCCACATAACAACCACTTTGATCCATAAGACCTCAATCTGTTGTCCAGGTATATCATTTTTCTTTTTTATCTGAATACCTATTGACTTCAATCACCAAGAATCAGCAAAAATTTCAGTGGTAGAAAAAACATCTTGGATGGTCTGAGGGCAGGTAAATTAACAAAAGATTTTTTTTTATTTAGAAGTGAACAATCTCTTTAAAAAGTGAAACGTTGTGACATTCATAGCCTGCTACTGAAAGCTTTAACATGCTGCCTTTGGAGACATCATTCTGAGGCAGGACGACATCATGGTATGTCCAAACAAAAATTCTGCTTCGCTTCCTGTCTCCAAAGATACTTTCTTTTAATCAATTTTCAAAGGCAGCATAGACGTGTCCTTCGCTGTCTTTACTATATGTATTTAATTTAACTGTCAGAATTCCATTTATAACAGTTGAGCTAAAAAAAAATACTGCATGTCAAAATGCTGCTTGAGTGTCAATTTGTGTGTAAATGTACATTTTTGACAAATGTTTTCTACTTTTGATGACATTCCAACCAAGACGTAAATATTTAGTTAGTGCAGATATATTTAAGCATCAAGCAGATCTTCATTTAGTGATTATCAAACTCTCTTTATATTGTTGTATATAATGAAATAGTTATGTCTGAAATCAGTTTTATGAGGTGCTTTCATGCACAAACGCTGCATGCAGGGACACTCTTTTTTTTTTTTTTTTTTTTTACATTTTTCAATTAACGTTTCACTTGTATGAGAGTTAAATCACAATTTACAACAAAATAACTGAAAACAGAAATCTAAATTTGAAAAATACCCTCATAGTATATTCATATTTTGGGACTGTGTAGGATCTAAGCGTCTTGAGTAACATTATAATCCTAGTTCACTGACGAGATGCAGTGTGCTAATACAAGCCTGAAAAGTGGAGTAATCAAGGCAAAAAAAAGAAATAATAATAATAATAATAATAATAATGAAGTCACTCTAAGGCAGTACCCCCTAATCTAACTTTTAGAAGAAGATTAACACAGTCATTTTACTACCTACTCCAAGAGTGGGCTATTGCTCCCTGAAGACATCTTTAGAAGTTTAATTAGTCAACGCTGTAAAAGTGAAATTCATATTTACTGAGGAGCATCCAGGGCTGAGGGAGAAAGTGTTAGGAAAGGTTGTATCCATATGCTATGAGGCTGAACATGAAATCAAGCTCTAAACTATGTTAAGTATTTAATATGTAAATAATTAAATAAGCAAACAATAATATTGTGTTAATAACCACACTAATCGACCCAAATAATAATTTTCAAAAAACTTTACTTTCCCAGTCTTTATACTTAGGTTGGAGATAGTTCATATATATCTTTGATCGTTATTTTGTTTTGATAATATGTGAAAATGTTCACAAATGAATTATTATAAACAAACATTACATATTGAAGTAAGATTAGTACCAGCAAAAAATAAAATAGTGCTGAATTTTATCACACACACACACACACACACGCACACACACGCACACACACGCACACACACGCGCACACACACGCACACACACGCACACACACGCACACACACGCACACACGCACACACGCACACACGCGCGTGCAGGCACACACACGCACACACACGCACACACACGCACGCACACGCACACACAAAGATTGGAAAAGATTAGTAAATGTTTATAACCTGATATCCTGATATTCTTTATATAAAATATATAACCTAATAAATCTGAAAATCTTAAAATAACCAAACATTGGATCACTGTCATCCAAAACATTTTGGTAAACAAAATAAAGGCCAGTCAACATATTCAATGCTCCATAAACCATAAATGAGTACACCCCATTTTGAAAATGAAAATTTTTATCCATTTCTCAGTGAATATAGTTTGATGCATTTAAACCAAACAGTTTTATTAAACGATTATATTTTTAGGGACGGAGAGAATCTGTGGACATTTTTTGCTGTTTCTGCACAGAACTTTGTAAAAAAAAATCTACGGATTTATGTGAAATGATTTTGAGAGTATCATAACTAAAACTTAATATATTAAATAAAAAAAATAATACCTTTTCAACTTTTTTTTTTTATGTTGACAATGCATATCCAATTAAAGCCACTTATTTGGTAAACAAAGCAAGTCTCATGTATAATAGATCTACTTAAAGACAGAAAATATTACTTTACAATTTTTTTTTTTTAAATAAATCATGTGAACATATAAGTGCATAATATTAATGACAATCATTTTAAAACTGAACAAATATAAATTTAGACACATTAACACAAGTAGATAAATAGACTCCATGGGCTAAAAATCTGCAGATTTCTGCGCGTGCAGATTCCTTGTGGGCCTAGTTATATCTGATAAAAAAAGAGTTTTAAGAGAATATTTTTATCCATATCTCTGTAAAAATAGCAAATACATATTGATGCATTAAAAACTAAACTGTTTTATTAAACGGTTAAATCTGATAGATAAGAGTGGTCACCTGATATCCAAATACCCTGAAACGAGCAAATTCACAATAAAAATTCACAATAAAAAAAAAAAAAAACACTACAGTTGTGCCTCAATAACCAGCAGGAAATTTTGAAGAATAAAATTGCTCTCAGAGCAATTCACACAGTCAGCATGAGCTTGGTGCTTTACAATATTACCCTTGGCGAGATGAACTCTAACGTTACGTCTTAAAATTCAGAGAAAGTTCAGTGATGTACAAAAGTATTCTTTAGGAATAGAAGAATAATACATTTAATCTCAAACAAGTTATTGTAAAAAACAACAACTTTACAAACAAAATTTTCAACACATTTTCTAATTTTATATTTATGTTTCTCTTGATTTTTCCTCTTTATTCAATGTTGTTTTAAAATGTATTCTCAAAAAACAATTGTCGGACTCTAATCTTAAGCTTTTTTGTTGGATTATTTCCAGTTTTGGCTTTGGTATGGATCTAATGTATATGCACAAATATTTTATTGAAAAGCATCTTATATTGAAAACATTCATTTAAAAGAGAGATCTGTGAGGGGGCTTAACGGTGGCTCAGTGGGTAGCACAATTGCCTCACAGCAAGAAGGTCGCTGGTTCAAGCCATGGCTAGGTCAGTAGGCATTTCTGTATGGGGTTTACATGATCTCCCTGTGTTCGTGTAGGTTTCCTCCGAGTGCTTCGATTTCCCCCGCAGTCCAAATACATGCAGTATAGGTGAATTGAATAAACTAAATTGCCCTTAGTGTATGTGTGTGAATGCAAGAGTGTATGGGTGTTTCCCAGTGTTGGGTTGGGGCTGGAAGGGTAAAACATATGCTGGATAAGTTGGTGATTTATTCCGCTGTGGCGGCGCCTGATTAATAAAGGGACTAGGCCAACAAGAAAATGAATAAATGAGATCTGTGAGGGGTGAACTCATTTATGCTTAGCAATGTATGTCTGTTTATTAAAAATAGTAGTAAGAACAATAATGACAATGATACTAATGATAACAACAATGAAAGACAATTTCTTAGATTTACATATGATAAACTGTGTTAGAAAGCTTATAGCATTAGCAGGAAAGCTATTTTGCATGGTTTGAAAACAAAAATCTCTAGCTGACACAGCTAGATGGCGCTAGTGGTCACATGTGGTGTGCATTTAACACTCACCAGTCTTCTGAGGTCCAATGATAAGCAGCTTGGGGAAACGGTCACAGGTCTTTTCCTTAGACCAGATGTCTTTATGCCTTTTGTCCTCACAGGGGTCCTGAAACAGTAAGAAATAAGCTGAAATGAAGTTTCACTGAAACGAGCAAATTCACAATAAAAAAAAAAAAAAACACTACAGTTGTGCCTCAATAACCAGCAGGAAATTTTGAAGAATAAAATTGCTCTCAGAGCAATTCACACAGTCAGCATGAGCTTGGTGCTTTACAATATTACCCTTGGCGAGATGAACTCTAACGTTACGTCTTAAAATTCAGAGAAAGTTCAGTGATGTACAAAAGTTCATGATGCTTTTAGAAAATATCGGAATCTGGGCGCAGATTTAGCATTAGCAGGAAAAGGGCATTATGGAGAAATTGCTGTTATCTGGCCGAATTAAAACAAACTACTCGAGCATGTCAAATATCTTACAACACATCAGTAGAGTCCAATAACAAGCGGATTTTATATTAATTCAGAAGTTGCGGTAATAACATCCCAGAGGTGGCCGCTTTATGGGATTAGCCAGATAAAAATCAAAAGCATAAACCATAAACCAGGCCCTGTCATGAGCTTTGAAGCATCTTGGGAGAAAGATGTCCTGCAGCAACCATACTAAACCCTTCATCCGGCACAGCCGAAGATGCTAATGAAGTAATGGTTTTAACCCTCGCCTCGAAATTAAAAACCTGCACAAAAATGTAAACCGGTCAAACGGTGCATTAAGATCGCAGCAATCAAACACCTGTCTCTCCTAATGAGAAAATGAAAAGCTTACGCTGCGGCACTAATGACCGAAGAGTTTTGCTTGACTACTTGCCAGTGCTAAATGGAAAATTACACTGAATTAACACATCTGGGCGTTGAATTTATTACTGATGAACGCTTGGGACTACAGTTTATGCTGATGGTAAACTTGTGCAGCCTGCGTAGGGCTTGTCCAAATACCCACACTTGCAGTCTTGGCCAAATGATAGTGTGTGGATTCAACAGGAAGAGTGCAAGGTTGTGTCTCCTAGGTCTAAAAAAATTTAATCTAGAGTCCTTATTAGAAATGTAACGATTCACCTGACTCACGATTCCATACGATGCCTGATACTAATCTCACGATAAGATTTAGTCACGATTTTTCAACAAATTATGTGAATCAAATTTAAGGTGAAGAGCCCTTTTATTTTTTCCTTATTGATGCACGTTTTGCAAAATAATTAATTTTCTGCCATAGCTAAATTGCTATTTTAAAAACAAATTTCAAAATAATAATAATAATACAAACTAAAGAAGACTCGTTAAAAATGAACAAAGTAAATCTGTGACTATGCTGGGATTTTACATTTTAAAAAGAAATATCAGCACATCTCCCCCTCTGGTCCAGGGGACTGGCCAGTGGCATAAAATACTGATTATAAAATTACTAATTATATAGTAGAATAGAGACGGGGGTTGAACATGATTATGAAGGAGAAAAATTTACATTATAATTATTAATTAATATTTAATTACTTGTCTAATTATATAGTATCAGTGTGATACACTTAAGAAGAGATAATCTTAAACAAGCCTCTGTTCAAAATATGTATCGCGATTCTTTCAACATTTCTACCGGTTTGAATCATCACATATTTGAATCGATTTTTAACCGACTCACAGTGAATCATTACATCTCTAGTCTTTATAGCACACTTAATCCACACTAATGGTTGTGCTTTTAAGTGGCATTTGAGGATAAGCGTATCCCATCATGCATCATGTTCAGAAACTTACTTGTCCTTCTGAAATTTGGGAGAAAATATTCCATTGTAAGTTCAGTTAATATTGTTTTAAAGAGCCCATATTATGGGTTTTTGAAAATTCCCCTCCATGTAGTGTGTAACACAGCTCTAAGTGAAGCGAAGTATCCAGCTAAGGCTTAAATCTGTAAGAATACAGTGTTTAAAACGGTTGATTCATCTATAAAAGAGTCGACTCATAGTGCTTCAAACGAGTCGCCTTGATACCGACTCATTAGGTGTTTCGCCATGACGTACGAACGAAACCAAGTTATTCACGTGCACGCGCAAACCCGGGAGATTTCAAACCTGAGGCCCCGCCCTCTGACGCAGAAACCCAGACACACACCCACAAACACACGCACACCCACAAACACACGCACACAAACATGCCGGTCGATTGAAGTCACACTGCAGATGGATATATTGAGTCCCTACCCAAAGATGAAACCTCAGCATTATAACCAAGCAGTTGGAAACTTCTGGAAGCTACATGCTACAAAGAATACTTCATCTGAGTTTGTTAAAGGAAGGATCAGTAAAGAGTAACTGATGGACATCAGGATGGGTTTCTTCCATTTCTCAAGTGTAAGTACGTGCGGTTAAAGTTGTTGCCTCGTTTACTCTTGCTTGCAAATGTATTTAGTTGTGATTTGTTACTTGTAACCGCGTGTACTGTATCAGGTTAACTGGATATTTGATCTTATCGCGTGCAAAGTCACGTTAAAAACGCGACGCGTGCTGTTTGTTTATGGAGCTCCGTGCTAGAGTTCTGCTCCCGCGATTTATTCGGAAATTTATTCCCGCGCCGCAGAAATCTGGCGCGGGGACAGCCGCGGGAATAAATTTCCGAATAAATCGCGGGAGCGGTCGGTAACGGGTTTAATTTGGGACGGGAGCGGGCTGTCTAGCAATATCACGGATATTGCTATGCGAATTAGAAAGAGAGAGTCTGCGTGGTGCTTGTGTGTGTGTTAGTGCGCACGCGCGCGTATGAGAGAGAGAGAGAGAGAGAGAGAGAGAGAGAGAGAGAGAGAGAGAGAGAGAGAGAGAGAACGAACGAACGAACGACAGCTTGGCTGTCTGGACTGTATACTGGATGATTTTTGGTTGTGTTCTCCGCTCTAGCGGGACCGGGCGCGGCGGGCAGAAAACGGAGCGGGTTCTCAGGCTAAAACCTGGCGGGTGCGGGCGGAAGCGGGAGCGTTGTCATCCGGAGGTGTGTGTGTGTTTTTGTGTGTGTGTGGTATGGCCAGTACACGACTGTCTCCTTCGTTCGGTTATCCGTGGCACTATCCACTCGCCATAGTGTGGCAGCTAAAATCCACGTCTATACTATCGAGCGTGTATGAACTGTGATTACTTTTTAAATTGCTGATTAGCTATTGGCCATTTCCCTCTCTGACTGAAGGCAGTCGACCAATCGCGACAGACTGTCATCGGTCCAATCAGCGCAGATTAGCTCCGTGCTAAGGAGGGGTTTGGGAACAAATGAATCACTGGACGATTCATACAGGAGTCGCTGGGATAATTAGGTAAAAATAAATGCAGATTATAAGACCATGAAAGTGTTTTTTGACCTTGCATGCATATTAGACTGTTGTTGGAGACCCTTACAACCAGGATATGACCCTATTTCATGTATAATATGGGCTCTTTAATTGATATGCAGATTTTGCTAATTATTTGGTTGTCATGCATATTATTGGCACAAAGATAATTATACGTTTATTACACATACTTTGTAACTGTTTTTATTAATTAATTACTGAAAAGATATGTAGAAGATAAGTTCTTTAAGACATTTATTTATTTATTATTGTTCAGAAGATACAATTAATATATTTATGTTTCACTAGACTTAAAAAATGTTTTTATTTTTTCTTTATTCATCAAAAATATCAGCAGCGAAACTGTTTTAAATTAAATTACATTGATATAATATATTACAATTACATTTAAAAAAATAATTTACAATATTATTGCTTCTACTGTCTTTTTGGTACATACAGCTATTTTGAGCATTTTGATGTTTGAAATCACAAACATTATTAACCCCAAAACATTTAAATAATTGTTTATTATTTTACTACTGAGAAAAATTTCTGAATCTATTTCTGTGTGCTGTGTATTATAAGCCTATTCTGGAGTATCATTTTGAAACATGCATGCCATTGATAAATAATAGTCAGTGGTGGAAAGTACCTGACAAGTGATTCACTGACTCATTCATTAAAGAATTAGTTCAAAGTGACTGATTCATTTAGAAAGGAAACAAGTGACTGTTTTTATGAATGGATCATTGACGCAGAGATTCATTCAGGACCAAAACACAGCAGTATTGCATAAATGCTCCAGGATTGTTGGGAACTATTTTCGCTGGCGAAACAGAACAGATGACACTGTGAAAATAATTTTATTCTATTATTATCTTATTAAAAATCATAAGTCATATTTATGATTACACTCTCACTTGTCCCATTACAGTGACATCATATTATTATTTATTCTTAACTATAAATAAATATATATAAATATATACAGTTGAAGTCAGAATTATTAACCTCCTATGAATTTTTTATTTCTTTTTTAAATATTTCTAAAATAATGTTTAACAGATCAAGGAAATTTTTTACAGTATGTCTGATATTATTTTTCTTCTAGAGAAAGTCTTATTTCCTATTTGTTTTACTTTAGCTAGAATAAAAGCAGTTTTAAAATTTTTAAACACCATTTTAAGGTCAAAATTATTAGCCTCTTTAAACTATATATTTTTTCGATAGTCTACAGAACAAACTATTGTTATACAAAAACTTGCCTAACTATCCTAACCTGCCTAGTTAACCTACTTAACCTAGTTAAGCCTTTAAATCAGTAACTTTAAGCTGTATAGAAGTGTCTTCAAAAATATCAGGTCAAAAATTATTTAGTGTCATCATGGCAAAGATAAAATAAATCAGTTATTAGAAATGAGTTATTAAAACTATTCTGTTTAGAATGTGTTGAATAAATCTTCTCTCTGTTATACAGAAATTAGGGAAAAAAATAAACGGGAGTCTAATAATTCTGACTTTAAATTTATATAAAACAACATCAAGATAATAAAGAATATTAAAAAATATTAAGTACCGTTCTTTTTTCATGATCATCATCATCATCATCAGGCAGTCAATGTTTGAAGAATATCAAGATGCGTTTTTATTGGCTGAAATTATAGAGTGAGTTTAGAGTAAATACACATTATTTTGTGCAATATTTTCATCTAAAACATTTCCTACACAGAGCCATAGTTTACTGAGAAGCTACACAATTACTATTTGATTAAATCGATTTGATTAGTTAGTATTACTTTTTTATTAGCTTTTTAAATTATTTTTTAGTTTCACTGTTACTGTATAGTAAAGTTAAAACAGGAAAGTGGGGGAGGGATGGGAACAGGATCGGCCTTGAGGTGGGAATTGAAATCCAGTTACTTTTGATTAAGTGCCATGCACAATACGCTGCATTTAAACCGCATGGTTCAAGTGACTCTAATTTGGATTTTTTTTTCCTTCTACGTAGCACAGATTGGACATGACCCATGCAGGAAAAAAAATCACATGGATTCTGATTTACTCCAATCAGATTTAGGCCTTGTTCGTATGTGGAAATTTGTCCGATATGAATCAGATCTGTGCTCTCGAGTCTGCGGCGTAAGGAGGTAGATCTGATTTTCACCGTCAATGCGAGTCGCCCATATTTAAAAGCTAGAAAGTAAGTCAATGATATCAGCTTTGAAGCTTTCATTTCAGAATATACTTTAGCAGAGTCCCAACCCTTTAATCTCATACACGAAGAATAAAGAAAGCGTTTATATTGTAATATAGCACAAGTATTTAAGCATGTTAATGAGAGTGAGAGAGAAAGCGCAACAACCACCACTTAACCAATATAAACTATTATATACATCACATGCATAAATCACGCCATGGACATTAAATTAAGATGACTACTGGTTTAAAAAAATGCCTAGATTAAAAAAAGATGAAGAAAGGGCACAAACTTTTCTGTCATAAAATATAGTAAAACAGCTTATCACAAAGAATTTTTTAAAAATGGAACCGTGTGTAGACATTTAAAAAAATTATTTATTTATTATAATTCTATAATAAAATTATACTTTTATTCTCAGAAGTCAGTCGGAGCCTGCTCTTTTTTTCCCTTGGCCATGTGCTGTATAAATGCAAACAATTGGATACGAGTCAGTTTTAAAAGATGATGCAAGCAGGTCAGCATAAAAATCAGATACAGTACCAAAATCGGATTTGACCATCAAGATCTGCAGTATAAATGCAGCCATAGTTAACTTAAGTGCTAAACTTCCCATAGTATTGTTAAGCATAATTATTATTTTAAAGACAGCTGGCCATGTAGGATGCAGACAGCTAACTAGCTTACATATGATGTAACAGAACCACAGTGTTAAGTCTAAAATAAAAACTAAACTCTTTCCAAGTTGCATCTTTCCTCTGAACGCTTGCAGATTTTTGGGGAAAACCACTGCAGAGGAAAGAAGATTATTCAGAGCAGCGCAAGCTGTGGAACGTTGAAGAGCCGTCAGTAAAAGAGATGGGACCTCAACCTTGACAGAAAAACCAGAGAGATCAAAAGAGGGATTTAGAGCTTTCAGGCTCCCACTTTCTCTTGCTCTAAGGGTGAAAGAAAACAAAGGAGGGAGACTAGTAGAAATAAAGAACTGGATGAATTGAAATGGCGAAGGCAGGGAGGGAAAGACACAAAGAGAACGACAGATCTCCAGCATCGCCTCAAACTTTCAACTGAATTATAGCAAGCAATTTCGAAAATAGCATCCTCTGATATCCTGGCAGGCGACACGGAAAACCATTTCCACTCTTTGTACATCAGAGTAAATGTGCAGAAAGCCATACGAAAGCTTTCGCCGCACATTACGGCAACACCGATCAACCTAGGTGGATCTGCTCCCACTGAATTAAATCACATTTGTCTGCCATAATCATAGCAGGTCAGACCAGACCCCTGACGGAGCTCCCCTGTTACCTGCCAGATGGGGTCTCTCTCTTCGGGGAAGATCTGGAAGTATTTCTGCGCCAGCTGAACAGGTGGGAGAGTCTGCAGGCTTAGATTGGTCCACATCTGGACGAACTTCACCAGGTTCTTAAAGGTGTACAAGCCAAGGCGGTCATTTCCGTAGTTGGACAGGTGGGTCATGAAGATGCTGATCTGAAAGAAAAGTGCAGAGAGTCATTAAGGGCTCAGACAACTGGATAAATGTGTAATGAAAACGTCTTTTATTAAACACTGAGGAATGAATGTGGTTTGGGATTTTCCTACAGAACATCTTGTTGGAATCTTTGAAATTGCAAATTACATCGAGATTGACCCTCAAAAGGGAGTTAAACGGTTGGGCAGGTGCCCTAAAAAACCAACACTATCATTTAAATGTTTGGGTTTGGTAAGATATTTCAGTGTTTTTAAAAGTTGAGGCTGCTTTATTTCAAGTAAAACAGTAAAAATCATTAGCTTTTAATATAATGGATTTCTATTTTGATATCTTTGAAATGTCCATTATTAAAGATTGTTTTGGCATTTTGTTACAGATTTTTTATTCTGGTTGGACAGTATACTGACAGAAAGCTAAGGCCCCGTTTACACTGATGCGTTTTAGAATGAAAACTATTCACGTCCACAGTGGTATTTCATCTAGCGCTTCTGAAAAGCTCCCCATCCACACTACACTGCTAAAAACGCATGACACAAAGTCTGAACTTAAAGGGAAAGAATTCAGGACAACTTTGTGTATATGATTTTGAGAAAAAGGCCCAATCGGTTGTTGAACGTCTGCAGCCACGTCTCCGTTTCAGATATTTACCCCCATCCACACTGACCTGGAGAAACAGTGTTGTAAAACCACTAGGGGTGTAACGATATTAAAACTGAACCGAAATATCGCGATACACCACCCACGATACGTATCGCGAAACTCTCGTGGCGTACCGCGGTACTCTCACGCCCCCTGCTGCCCATTGTTGAGGTTGACGTCACTTGTCTCTAACTAATTGAACCAATTTAAACACATCTTTAATATCATATTTGATTAAATTGTTTTAGTAATGATGAGGATTTGTTCTAAATATTATATTCTAAAGTATTTTAGTGCATGTTATGTCATGTGACTTGAGTAAGCATCACACTCGTTACTACTGGACGCAGGATGGCTGTTTCACATAGTACTGAGATTGCAGATCCCCAAGACACATTTAAGTCATCTGTGTGGAAACATTTTGGTTTTCCAGTTGAGTACAGGAATAGAATTCGTGTCGTAGACAAAGCGCACGCCTGTCTGTCTCAACTGTTTCATGAAACTTACTTGTAAGGAAAAACATTTAAAAAGTGGGGTAATTTCACAATATGAGGGTGTAAGCAACAGAACTGCCAACAAAAGTGATTTATTGTACAAAAGTAAAACCAGAATAATGCCCAAATATACAAAAAAAGAGAAATATTTACACTAATAAAAATAATATAATAAAGTAACAAATTCAAACAAAAGTATCAAACAAAAATTAGTTAAACTCGAGCAAGGGGGTGATAGTGAAGACAAACAAAAGAAATAAATATAATAAAACAATTCTAACTCATGAATATAACCCCTCTTACCTCGCTAAACTGATGAAAAGAAAAAAAAGGTCTTCAGCTTTTACTGAATAAAATAAACAAAGATGACCTTCACCTCTTACCTGATGTCTTTAACAATACATTTTCTACATGTTTGCAAAATGGAAATCGTATGACATTTTCCCTATCCACCTTACACTAAGACTGAACTTGAGAAGATGCAGCTATATTGTCAGGAAGGAGCGGAGCTAAAAAATAATATACAAATCAATTGAAATAAAAATGTGCAAACCTCACAAAATTTCTTAAAGTGGGCAAAAGTAATGCAAAATAATTTTACCCAAACGAAAGTTAAGCAAAAACAACAAAAATCATAATCATGTCAGAAAAATACACGAAAAACGAGATCAAAGGAAAAAGCGCTCTCTCTCCCGCTCTTCCTGACATGCTTTTCACATTCCCGCGCTGCGTCGCCAAATGATGATAGATCGGTCTCCTGACCAATCAGCTGTCAAAAAGGCGGACCTACAGAAATGTCAGGCATCAGCTGTCGTGAAGGTGGACCTACAGTACATACATGACCGGCATAGAGGGATCGGGAGAGAGAGAGTGAGAGATCGGGAGGCAAACATACAGCCGGCTACAACCCTAACATTAGTTTCAGACACAACCGCAATGTATTTTACTGGTGAATATGTCATGAAAAAACCCTTTACAAACACAGTATATGTATATTTTTCATTAATTTAAACGGAAACCTATCTATCTAAATGAAACCATATAATTAAAAATGAGCGTCTGTGTCTGCACAGAGATCAAGCCTCTCATCGGAGAATGTGGATATTAGGGTGTTTTTGAAGAAGATCTTTCACTAGTCTACACTGCAGTTATTAATTTAATTTTAGTTTACTTAGTTAAGATGGCTGCACTAAAGAAAATAGTTTTTTTTCTGACTAGTCTATATTGGAGGTATTTATTTAATTCTAGTTGTTTACTCGGGTATCCTGACTGTACTAAAAATGCGATGACAAAGTTAATAAAGAAAAAGGTAAGATGTTCTTGTTATTAAGTGAATTGTCCCTGAGCATTGCTGTTAACATGACATCAACCCTAACCCCACAGCAAACAGAAACCGAACCGTACCGAACCGTGGCTCCAAAACCGTGAACCGAACCGAACCGTGCCTTTTATGTATTGTTACACCCCTAAAAACCACAAAGGCCTCTCCAGCGTTTTCAAAAAGCTGTTTTCAGGGCTCGAAAACTCTGGGGTAGCGTGGACAGAAGGCATAACCGTAGTCATGTGTTTTATAAACTAAAACATATTAGTGTAAACGGGGCTTAAGTTGGAGAGAACAATGTTTGGGATCAAGAAAAGTTCAGAAAGTCTAGACTCGAACTCAGGAAACCTGTAGTGCACTATACTGTATGTTGGTGCACTGACAACTAGGCTAATGACAGAGACAAAATGTCAATTATTAATGTGACTAAAAGCTCCCTTTTATGTCGAGTTCATACTGCATGATTTTAGCCCCGATGTTGACTCGCCGACAGGTTTTGAGAAACTGCAGAAATCACAGGCAAATCGGTCCACGTACTAAATATCTGGAGCTGTCAGCAATTTAAATCATGCTGTGAGAAATGTGTTCTGATTAAAAATAACATTGTTGATTACCTACAGCCAATGAAAGCGCAGCATCCACTAGTGTGTGTACCTGCAGGCCACAGCAGGGGGTTTGGGTAGAAGTTAAAAGTGCTCAGTTTTAGTTTATTTGGACCCAAAAATATAAAGAAAACTAGTGTAAATTTGGCAGGAGCACCCGTGTCTGTTTGACGTGTCAGCTGAGCAACATCACAACCGGTCAAACAAAAAAGTTGAGGAGAAATCGCTAATTCACTTCTAACCCAGGTGAGCGAAATAAGTACATTTTCTGCCCCCCTTCTTTCTCATTATGTAGTTAAAAACAAAATATATACTACATGACCTTATGTTATGTCAGTTCTTGCTTGTGTTTGGTTGCGAGATGTAGTTTGGACAAAGTTGTCAGCGATTCTTCCTATTTGAAAGTCTTGCAGTGTGAAAACCCTGGTTGCCAATCCATCTTGCAGTGTAAACAAAATCTGTGACGAAACAGTACCCCAAGATAGTCATGCAGTATGAAAACATATGTGATACGACTTCTTTGAAAATCATGAAGTTTGAACTTGGCATTAGCATTATTACTTCAGTATTCAGTGTCACAAGATCATTCAAAAATGAGTCTAATATGTTGATTTCTAATCATTATCTACGTTTGAATTTAATGTTTTAATGTTTTTTTTAAATATATTTACTGAATTCAGTTTTCTATAATAAAAAAGAAAAAAAAAATTTCACTTTTATTTATGTGACCTTGATGACTAAAAGCATATCTTGGTGACAAAAAAATCTCACCGAGGCCATAAATTTGGAGAATAAATCACATATTAAACATAATATCTAAAATCAAATCAGTTTAACATAAGAATGATTGCACTACTACAAGTCACATTATGAGCACATTAAGTGTGCACGTGTATAAAAAAAAAAAAGGAACGTTTTTAAGGGAATGGTTGCTATAAGAAATCCGGTATATCTATTAAATCAAAATTCATCATTAACATATATGTAATACATATACATACATACATATATATATATATATATATACAATATATATATACACACACACACACACACACACACACACACATATATATATACAATATTTACACACACACACACACACACACACACACACACACATATATATATATATATATATATATATATATATATATATATATATATATATATATAAACACACACACACACACACACACAAGTGCATCAAATCATCTGAGCGCGCGACAGTTAAGCCCTCGTCAGTGAGTGACGAAAGCCTGTCTCACTGTGCGCGTGATCCTCTCATTTGTTATTTACCTGCTTTCTTTTGCTCGCGTCAAAAGCAGTTTTTGTCAGTCGTGATGTTTCTCGATTCTAAGATCACAATTGTACGCATATAGACAAACGGTTATAAACTAACAGTCTAATCTGTTGTGACCATGAGCCAGCACTGGCAATTTTAAAATGAGCTTTAGCCAGCCAAAGTGGCTACTGGAGTGGCTGTCTAACCCGCCACAACCGAAATCTACCCACATTATATATAAATAAAATGTAAAAAAGGCATAATTAATAAATACATTATTATGAGTTAAGACTGAGTTAAGACTTTTTAAGACCAGGATAATAAGCAGTGCTTCCTATAGGTTGGAAATATACTTGTGGTGGTAGCCAGATTAAAGCACACTTTTCACTCACATCATATAGTGAACTATATACAAACAAAATATAATTCAACTTTTTAACAGTATTTCCTAGAGTTAGGGTCGAGTCCACCTTTGTCGAGTCTAAGTCAAGACCAAGTCCTTAACCAGTCGAGTACAAGTCCAAGTCCGAGTCCAAAAGGGGTCGAGTCGGACCGAGTCCAGACAGTCATAAAACTCATTTATTAATTTTCTTTTGGCTTAGTCCCTTATTCATCAGGGGTCACCACAGCGGAATGAACTGCCAACTAGTCCAGCATA